ACTGCACTCCACCATGTAAAGTTAATCTGTGATAATAGTCAATGAGCATAAATGTCAACTAATCTCTATCTGTTAGTATCAAGGGATGTTTTGCATCATCATCCAGTAAGGCTCTACTCAATCTACCCCCAACTCTTATCAATCCGCAGTTTATAAACGGCGTAAGATTAAGCAAACGGCTAGATCGAAGTAGTGGTAAGCTATTTTCTAAGCTACGATCTTGATTTTGAGTTAGTACCTTGAACTCAGCGGAAAAGTGACATTGTCGATGCTGATAAACTAGCCACATTCTAGCACAATCAATTTCTGATGTTGAAAGGTGAATCGAGTCAACTTTAATAAAAGAATACAAGTCAATAAACTGCAAACTAGCCTGTAAAGGGGGCTTAAGATTTCCAGCTATAGGTAAATATGAATCCTTTTGTTTAACTTTATGTAAACAACGGTATTTTAAACGAAGGCAATATGCTGTTACTCTTAGCAACCGTTCCCACTTGGAATAACGAGTTAGTAGGGTCATATAAAAAAACTCAGAATTATTTACAAGACTATTTTCAGAAGGCATTGAACTATTTACATTTATAGAGGTTGGGGCAATTATTTCTACTCTAAACTCTGGATAGTTAAGTTACAATTCATAAAGAATCTTAGGGCCCTGAAACCATAATATTTGATTTAGCAATTGGCCTGGAATAACACTTCTAGAAGCTACATCAGCTGGATTTTGCTTTGACGTGATATAATGCCACTTGGCATATGGAGTCTATTCATGAATTTTTGAACACCTATTATCTATGAAAACTGGCCATTTGGAAGGAAGTCCATTGAGCCAATATAGTACATTCCTAGAATCGGACTACATGGGAACTTGTGCTTCTTTCAATGAATTACCATCAACGAAATGACCAACTACTGTGAATAACAATTTTGCAGCACATAGCTCTAGTCTTGGAATACTTAACGTTTTAATCAGAGCTACTTTCGTTTTGGCTAATTGAAGATGTACATAAATTTCTCCCTCGCGTACAACGCGTAAATAAACAGCCGCTGCATAGGCGTTTCGAGAGATTCACAATCTAGTGAAAAATGATTCCATCTAGGTATCTGAACTTCGTTTAACAAAGGTGTTTCATTTAACCAATGAGTCCAGATTTTAACCAAATCAGGTAACAGAGAATCATCCCAAGATACTTGCAACAACCAAAGAGATTGAAATAGTATTTTAGCAAAAATTATCATTGGAGCCAACCAGCCTAGAGGGTCAAAAAATTTTGAGAACTGCGCTAATAAAGTACGTTTGGTCCAGCGAACGGGTGTGTCAACGTTTACTGTAACGCAAAATCGAAACTCGTCACTACTAGGATTCCAATGTAAGCCTAAAACAGAAACAATTGGTTCATCATCGCTTAGGATCTTTGGTTTACTAGATAAGTGGCTTACTGGTCACTCAGCTATCAACTCAGATGAATTGGCTGACCATTTTCTCAGTGGAAATTGACCTAATTCACACAATTCAATTAGTTGCCGACATTTAATCTTAGCATCTTCTAACGTATGGCTACCAGACAAACAATCATTTACATAGAAGTCTTCACAAAGAACTTGAGCAGCTATAGGATGAGATTCAGTGTAATCCTTGGCAAGTTGCCTTAAAACACGTGTGGCCAAGTAAGGTGAACTTGTCAAACCATATGTAACAGTGTTTAAGACGTAAGATCGAATAGGTACAGACGCATTAGGTCTCCATGAAATGGCCGGAAACTCATGATCTTCGGGAGCTACCCAAACTTGTCGGAACATTTTCTCAATGTCAGTAGTAAAGACGAATTGGTAAAATCTCCATCTGATAATAATATCAAATAAGCTAAGCAACAAATTATCTCCAGAGTGTAAAATGGACTTGAGCGAGAAACTAGAACTACAAGAAGCTGATCCATTAAAAACTACTAGCAACTTGTTGTTTTTAAAAACTTCATGATGAGGTAGATAACAAGCTGCTAATTTGTCAACCAGTAATTCCTTTATATGGCCCAAAGATATATAATCGGACATGAATGCTGAATAAGCATCGTGTAGAGACTTATCTCTCACAAACCTCCTTTCTAAATGGTGAAAAACTGCCAACGCTGATTGATACGATTGTCTCTGTAGTTCAGGAAGAGTCTTAGGATTAACCTTGAAAGGAAGCCGTACAACATACCTGCTTGTTGAGTCTCGAGAGTGTGAATTAATGAAAATCTCATCACAGGCTATCTCGTCTTTACTCAAAATTTTTCGAGGCTTGAGAGGTTCCTCAATAATCCAAAACCGCTGAACTAACTCATTAAGCTGAGTTTCCTCCACGTTAACCCTAACTAGTGATTTTTGTGACAAGTTGGATCCTGAACCAAGGGGCATCTGACCCGATAACAACCAACCAATTTGCGAAGCAGAGGCAATTGGGTAGCCAGGGGCTAATTTGCGCGCTTCCTGAGCGATAATAATTGCATGGACAGATGCATCTAACAAAATATCAATTTTATCTAAACTGTAAAATTCTGGATCTGCTGGAACTACATCCTTCCCATAATCTAAATTTGCCAAACGACTATCTAGAGGTGGTTCGTAGAAAGAAATTTTTGGCACGACTAACGCATCAACAAGGTGCTCAAAACTAGACTTAAAATGAGGCCTAAATTTGAAAGCAACTGATTTACTAGCGTCCATGGAAATCAGTCCACCCACTTCTGACAGAGTCATACTAACTGATCTTGGTTTCAAATGCATCATATCACAGAGAGATTTAGTGATAAGACAACTCTGTGAGCACTGATCAATGAGAGCTCGTACCAATATGCGAGATCCATCAGTGGCATACACGAAAAAACGAGCAGTAGCTCGAAGCGCCTTGGGTAAGACGATTTTATTACTACTACATGACTGTACATTCACACTAGACTCTGAAGAAATCTGAGCTTGGTTTTGTATAGTAAAAGAGTTCATCAAGTTATTTACAGATTTTGTTTGCTTATTTTTAGCAGAGACGGATGTAGAGCTCGACTTATCCCCTCTGTGCATAATGGTGTGATGCCTTTGGTTGCAGTGTGAACACTTATTATTAACAGAGCACTCCCGATTAAGGTGAGGACCAAAACAATTAACACAGAGACCATGAGACTTCAGAAATTTCCCTTTATCGCTCCACTCCTGTAATTTAGATGAATCACAAGAGACAAGATGATGTTTTTGATTACAGAATTGGCAAACAATGGAATCTGAAACAACTGTCTGATGTGCAGTAACACCAGATATAGGCTTACCACTAGAAGATCTGATATTTTTAAAAGGAGTAGTTGCGCGAATATTTACAATCTCATTTACGGGTTTACAAGGAAACGATTTCATTGTAATGATTTGTGCTGAAATGAAGTCTCGTAGTTGACCTAAAGACCTGGAGCTTACTCGAGGTCCGCTATGAGCATCGACAGCTCCTCGTGCAGGACCACGTTGCGGCGCTCCGCAATATCAAGCCTCTGCGGGACGAGTCAGCCGGAGGTCTCCAAGCGCTGTTGGACACGCTTGAACGTCATCGCGATCAGCTTAGTGCTCTCGGCCGCCCTGTCGCCTCCTGGGATGATTAGTTCATCGCGTTTGCAGCAACGGGCATGGGTGCCACCACAAGACGTGCTTGGGAAGACGAGCTGGAGAAGCTGGAGATTTCCAGCGACGTGCCCGGTGATTCCTGGGCCACCTTTACCATGATGGCTGCGTTTCTGCGGCGCAGATGCCGCACTCTCAGCTCCGTAGAGGCTTCTCATCTAGCGCGCTCAGCTGGCTCCACTGGCTCACGAGGGCCCTCCTCGACGCACGTAGGACGCAATTTCCGCTCCCTCACGACCCAGGAGGCCCCAGCGAACTGCCCAGCTTGTCACGAACCCCACTATCTCGGGCATTGCGGTCAGTTCCGGGATCTGAATCCAGCCGCCAAGATGCACATCGTATTCCAGGAGAAGTTATGCTTCAACTGCCTGAAGCCAGGGCACTCCCTGCATGACTGCCCCTCCAAGTCGGTCTGCCAGCGCTGCCGGGCGGCGCACTACAGTCTGCTGCATGACAGCCGCAAACGCCGGTCCGAAGCTCCAGGATCTCCGGACCCACCCAAGCATGCGAAGCCGACCAACTCCGATCTCCTCAAGACTCCTGATGAGTCCCGGCAATGACTCGCGGTGCTTCCGACCGCGCTCGTCCAACTTAGCGGCGGCCGGGGGCCCATCGTCACCGTGAGGGCACTCCTCGATCCGTGCTCTGAGATCTTGGCCATCTCTCTCAAGCTCGCTCACCGCCTAAAGGCCCTTTTGGAGGATTCTAGAACCAGCGTATCGGGCATCGGCGGCGAACACGCTGTAAGGTCGACACTCCGCGCCAGCCTGCGCCTGATGCCAGGGGATGGCACCCCCAGTTTGCATCTGAAGGCGCTGTGCATACCCCACCTCGGTCTCTCAACTCCTTCGGCCCCGCTCGACCCCAGCATCCTGCGTGTCTGGGCCAGCCTGCAGGACCTCGCCGACCCCGACTTTGGCTTCCCTCGTGCCGTCGATATTCTCATCGGCGCCGAGGTCTACAGCCGTCTGCTGCGCCCTGGGTACCGTCAGCGTGGAGAGATCGTCGGTCAGCATACAGCACTCGGCTGGACTCTAGTCGGGTGTGCTCCTGGGCGCCCCTTGGACAGCGCCATCGCGTGTCTGACATTGCACGATGAGCTGGCTCCACCCTGGCATCGCGAGCTCATCATGCTACTCCAGCGCTTTTAGGAACTAGAAGAGGTGCCCTCCGTCTGCCGCCACGCGCCCGATGACATAAAATGCGAGCGGATTCTTGCCAACTACCGGCGCGACACGGACGGCCGTTATCTCGTACGTTTGCCTATGAAGCCCAATGCTGCACCGCTCCTCGGCGATAGCCTGGCTAGCGCCCTGGCCTCACTGCGATATCTACACCGTCGCCACCAGCGGAACTCAAAGATGGCGACCGAGTATAACCGCTTCATGAGCGAGTACCTCGCCCTCGGTCATATGAAGCGGCTCTCTAGCCGAGAGCTCTCTGAACCGAGCAGCACGGTCTGCTACGTCCCGCACCACGGCATCTGGCAACACGAGGACCTTGGATCAAAGTTGCGTGTCGTATTTAACGCCTCGCACCCAACCTCGAGCGGCTACAGCCTAAATGACATCCTGCACTCCGGGCCGAGACTCCAGGCCGCACTACCGACAGTCCTGCTGCGATGGCGAAGACATAGCGTCACCTTCTGCAGCGATGTCCAGATGATGTTTCGCCAAATCTGGGTCGACTCGCGAGACGCAGACCTTCAGTGCATAGTCTGGAGCCCCGATCCGAGTCAGCCGCCTGTACACTATCAACTGCGCACCGTCACTTATGGCGCGACTTGCTCGCTCTACTTGTCACTGCGTGTGATTCAACAACTCTGCCATGACGAAGGACACTTGTGGCCGGACGCCGTACCTGTCGTCATGAACGATCGGTACGCGGATGACATCCTCTCGGGTGCCGATGACCTCAAAACGGCCCGCCAGCTTCGAGATCAAGTAATTGGCCTGCTGCGCTCAGGCGGATTTCCACTCCGGAAATGGGTCGCCAATGACGCCGAACTTCTGGCTGACCTCACCCAGGAAGCTCGCCTGCGCCCTACGTGGCGTGAGCTCAGCGACGCTGGCCTCGTCAGCGAGCTTGGCGTCAGCTGAGACCCAGCCTCGGATACTTTCCGGCTCACACCCCTGGCAGCCCGAGAACAGGACACCAAGCGGAGCATCCTTGCTGGTTTCACGAGCCTCTTCGATCCTTGCGGTTGGCTCGCGCTGACCATACTCCAAGCCAAGCTCCTTGTGCAGGATCTGTGGCGCACCCGGTTAGATTGGGATGAGGTCGTACCTGCATCAATGGCTCGTTGGTGGTCAGCTTTCACCACTGAGCTGAAATCAATCCAAGGCTTCTCCATTCCACGTTGGATTGGATCTTCGGCTCCGTCGAAGATTCACCTCCACGCCTTTTCAGACGCCAGCCGCCACGCGATGGTGGCGGTGGTGTACTCCCAGCTGCAGGACTCCTCAGGGCAAGTCCGCTGCCACATTCTGCTGGCCAAGACAAAAATTGCGCCCATCCGAAGCCTCAAGCCGTCAGCCACGCCCCAGGCCCGCATGACGATACCTCGCTTTGAGCTGCGTGCCGCGCTGCTTGCTGCGAAGCTGCTGCGCTTGGTCGTCAGCGAGTGGAACATCCCTATTGAGCACTGCTACGCTTGGTGCGACTCCCAAGTCGTTCTACGCTGGCTCCACTCCACCGAGCTGACCAACCACGCTCTTGTCGACAACTACGTCGCCCACATCCAGGAGGTACTGCCACCACACATCTGGCGCTATGTGCCTACTCATGACAATCCTGCCGATGTGGCGTCTCGAGGCACCGATGCCCAGACTCTACACCGCCAGCAGACATGGTGGACTGGCCTTTCCCGGCTGTCCGAAGGCCCTGATCGTTGGCCCCAGGAGCCCTCCGAGCCGCCACAGCCCTCACCTCCTCGCCTCTGCAGCGTCACGCAAAAGATCGAGTTCAACCTTCTCCGACTGTTCTCCGATCTGGGCGTCCTCCTGCGCACCCTCACCCACCTGCGTCGGTGGGCGAGACTCCATCTCGGCCGAGCCCCTCCACGACCGATGCTCTCAGCACCGACGGCTACCGAGTTGACCGAAGCCTACCTCGCTTGCGTGCGCTTGAGCCCGCAGCGTGGCTTCTCTGATAAACTTGCACTGCTTCGCATGGGCCGCACCCTTCTCAAGCGGCACCCACTGACATCGCTACGATACGAGCGCTTGGAGCTCATGCCTTGCAGTGTTCGTCGTAAATACGTCTGCATCCGCCTGCTCAGTTCCGTTTTGGCATCTGGTGAGACTTTATATTTGGCTAAGAAGTTCATCTTCCGACCACGCGATGCTACGGGGTCAAGGAGAGCGGATCCCTCGGAGCTAATTGTCCCGTGGGCAAGAACAGACATTTATATGGATTCCTTTCATATTAGTGTTGCCCGGCTGTGGAATCGCTTACCGGGCGACTTGCGTGGGCTCTCGACGAGGCCCTGCTACATGAACACTACAAGCGGCTGTAGCCCGTTGTCGGTGATGGTGATAATTTGTGCTATGTCTGTGATCGAGTGAACTCTACTGTGATTTATATTTACATTTGTGTTTTATTAACTGTTCTTTGCTGACATTTTATCCAGTTTTACTACTTATATA